TAGAAGTCTTATATAGACAAAATAGTCAAACTAGAGGTCTTATAAAAGGAAAAAAAACTTATTAAATCTAATAATTATTTCCGAAAATACTTAATAATATATAATTCTGGAAATCTTTTAGATATTAGATAAACTAGATTTATTTATTTAAAGCTTATCTTATACTAGAAAACCTACTTTTTCTTTAATATAATTATAGCTACTTTTAAAACTCATACCGAGACTTAATTAATATATTATATATTTCTATTTCTATATAAAGAGAACTTCTCTTATATAGAACCTATTCCCTAATTAAGATACTATTTTATTACTAGAAACTAATTATTTCTTTAAAAAACTAATATAATTTATTAATTCTTACTATTAATCTATTTTTTAATATTAAATATTATTTAAATAATTTCTATAACCTTAATACTAATTTAGAATACCTAATCTCTCTATATTCTATATTAACTTTAATATTAATTATTTCAAACTTAATAATAATACTATAAACCCTATTTATATTATCTTATAATTCTTTTTTCTATAAATCCTAATACTTTTAATATTATTTTTATAGATATAAATATTACTTTAAAATTCTAATTAACTAAATAGTTTTATACTATATAAAATCGGCTTTAGTAAATACTAAATAAATATAATTAGCTTTTAGAAAAGATATAGATTAGTTTTAAAAAAAGTAATACTTTATTCTAAATTATTCTTTAATTCTATTATTCTAATTTCTTTTCTATTAATACTTATTTTATATTTTCCTAATACCTTTAATATACTTATATACCTTATCTTTTATATATTTCCTATATTATTTTCTTTCTTTTATACTATTCTTTAAGTTAATAGAAATATTTCTAAATAAATAAAAAGTCGAGATATATTTATATTATAAAAATTTTTTTATTTTCTTTTATATTCTAATACTTTAGATACTATTACTATATTTATATTTCTATTATATTACTTTCTTATTTTCTTATTATTACTATTTAGTTTAATCTACCTTAATTATTTCCTTAATTATATTTCCTTAGGTATATATATTTATATTTCTTTCTATAATAAAAGCCTAATTCTATATTTTATTTTCTATAATTATTTCTAATTTATAATTATATTACTTTAAATATATCTAATTATTATATCTATTTTCCCTATTATATATACTATTATTTTAGCTTTGTTTTCTTACTAGAAAGAAAAAGAAAACTCGAATATATATAATACCTTTATATAATTCAAGTCTATTTTAATTTATTCTTTATTTCAGAAAGTATTTAAAAGAAATTCTCGTAAGCTTAAGAATCTTTAACTTTATAACTAATAACTATTATACTAATAATATCTTCGTAATTTATTAAGAATAATAAAATAACTAAAATACAGATTTCTTAAGTTAGTAAAGTATAATAGCTAGTTCTTATAAGCTATAATATTATTAAAAGCCTATAGATTAATAGTATTAAAGTTCAGAATATTAAAGAAGCTTAAATAATTATAAAAGGCCTACTAATACTAGAAAAGATAGCTATAATTACCGAATTTAATATGAATATTTTAGATAAGCTAAATAGTATATATAATAAGCTCTTAAAATAAAAAACCTTTATTAGAAATAAAACTAGACTAGAATTAATTAAGAAAGAGCTAAAGAATTACTAAGCTAATAATAAAGAATTTGAGAATATTATTAAAGGTATTTCTAAAGACAGATAAGAAAAGCTTAATAAGATTAAAACTATAATAAGTAGTTTTAATACTAAGAATTAGAATAAAATTATACTATATAGTAAAGCCTTTAGCTAATATATTAATAATATCTATAATAACCTTAGTAAAAACGTCTATAAGAAGTTATACTTTCTTTTTAAGATAAAAGCTTTAGTATATAAAGCTATTTAGTTAATTAATAAAGCTATTTTAAAGTAAATTAAAAATAAGAAATATTAGAATACTAGTATATTTACTAAATTAGATATTACTAAGGTACTTAAATATATTAAAGCTATTTCGAAACCTGGAAAATTAGTTTTTAAGTTATTATTAGCTAATAATCTTAAAGCTAAATAATATATCTTTAATATTTCCGGAATCCTAATTAAGAGAATTTATAATAATAAGTCTTTTCCTGCTTTCCGAAATAAGCCTAAAAAATAAGCCCCTATTATAATTTCAGCTTTAACTTAATTAGATCTAGCTAATAAGAATAGAACTAATTTAATATAGCCTAGTAAGAAAACTACTAGTAAGACTAGTAAAACTAGTATAATTAGATAAAAAGAATCTAGTAAGAATAAAGAGTAAGCTAAGCCTAAAACTTCTAAAAAATAGCGAAAATCTAAATACTAGTCCAAGTATAAGGCTAGTAAAATAGAGGAAAACAAAGAATTAAATAAGAAGAAATTCTTTATTTTAAAGAGAAAAATATTATCTAGAATTAAGAAGCAGAAAATAAAGAATATTAAATCCGGCAAACTTAAAAAAGATATCTAATATACTTATAAGATACTAGCTAAATAGAAGTTAATACTTACTTAGTAAAATAAGTATATTTTTAAGGAAATATATAATAATATTTTGAGACCTATTTATAAGCAAAAATATTATAGGATTAATAATAGATTTCTTAAAGCTTTTTATATAGTATATATTTAATAGCTTACTAATATTCTCTTTATTAATATATAAGATATTAAGTATACTTTAAAACTAGTTACTAAGATCTATAAAGTTACTAAAAGCAAAAAGTATATTTCTATTATTTAGATAAATAAGGAAATACAGGATTTCTTTTTTAAGATCTAGAAAATTAAGAAATATAAATATAAGTACTATATTTCTAATTAATTTTACCTAAATTTATAGCTCTAATTCAATATTATAGTTCCTATTCCTGAGTCTAATATTACTAATCTAAGTATAAATAGCTATTTTTATAAGAAGAATTACCTAAAATAAATTAAGAAGCTTAGTACTTAAAAGCTCTTAATAAAGAAAATAGAAATACTATAGTTCTATTTCTAAAAAATAATATATTAAAGTATAGAAATCTAGGTAATAGTTATTTTATTTTAGTCTCTTAACTCTTAATAATAGACCTATTAATATGGCTCGGATTTTATAAGATATTAAATAAATACTTTATTTATCTAGTTATTTATTCTTAGCTAGCTAAATACTATATTCCTGGAAATATTAATTATAATTAGTATAAAAGTAATACTAAAGATCTGGCTATTACTAAAGCTTTAAGTAGCAAATTCTATCTTAGTAAAAAGTATTAGAATATTAGCTATATTTTCCTTATAAATTATAAGAAAACTATTACTTTTAGTAAGAAGTTCTTTAAAAATATTAATTATTTCTTTATTTCTAATAAATTTAAGCCAGAAATAGCTAAGGAAATAGGTAAGTATTTATTAAAAATAATAGGAAAAAAGACTCTAAATATGGTTTATTTAATTAGATAAATAAATATCTTTAGCTAGGTAATCTATAAATCTAGAATTATAGACAAGTATTAATTCTCGGATAATATAAAAGTCAAAAAATAGCTTAATAATAATTTACTACTTAATAGGCCTTTTACTATAATTCTAATAAGTCTAGTTACTATTAAGAATAAAATATACGAAAATAAAGTCTTTTATAAGATTATTAAAGCCTCTTATCTAGAGCTTTCTTCTTTTATTAAAGGCTAATTCAAGAATACTATAAATAATACGAAATTCAAAAGAGCTATCTATTTAGAGTATATTAGTGCGATTTATAATATAATTCACTATAATAAGCCTTCTTAATACCTAGTAGTAAAGGCGGAAATTAAGTAATAGTTAAAAGCAAATACTAATTAATATAGAGAACTATATTAGACTTGGTATAAGAATATGATTAAGCAGATTCGGATTACCTTTAAGCAAGTTCGGGAATATGAAATAAGGCTATTTAAGAATAATAAGTCTTATTTTAGGTATATAGAGGAGAAATTAGATTAGCTAATAGAGGAGGATCCTAATTATTTTATTATTTCGGACTCTAAGTAGGATTTTTCTATTATTTTTGGTATTTAGGGAATAAGTACAAATAAATAGGGGATCGAATATAGTACGGCAGGCCGTACTCTTTAAAAATCATATTATTTTAGCGGTTTTGAGATTTAGGTTATATGGCAAAGGCCGCAGCCTTTTATATATGACTTGCGGAAATCACATAAGAAAGCTGGTTTTTCTATAGTCCTAGAGAATAATCCCTTATGAGTATTCAATTAATTGAGCTTTTATATACTATATACTATTTATACTTTACTATTTACGCTTTTGATTTGTTATTTTACTGTCAAGTCACGTTTTGCGCTCTGGTGTACTTTATGTGGGTTTTTGTCTTGTCGCAGTTTCCCTCCCATAATATAAGTTGGGTTGTTTAGAGAGAATTGTGGAAGTCTCGAGGGCTATTTAAGGGAGGCTACTTCGAGTTGTGAGCTTTCGGTTAAAAATGGGATCTAACTCGGCTCCCGCAAGGACTATTAATAAGTATAATAGGGGAGCGAGAACGGCCACTATTACTCCGGGGGCCACTGCCGGGGGGGCGGGCTTTTTATAGGGCGACAGGTAGGGCACCCTTTGCAACCGGTGAACACAAAAAACTATCTTAATGGGTTTAAATGGGTGGCTATGTTATAGCAATAAGATAAGAAAATTCTTTTTATAGATAATATGGAAAGTATAACCGATTCTCGAGAGAGCCAAAGGGGTCCCCTGAGCGTGATCCGCCGACTCCTAGCGTGCTCAGGACTAGGGCTCAGCTCAGGTTAGAGCGGCAACTTCCCAAGTTCAAAGACGGAAACTGATTCTAGTGGGCTGAATTGTCGTCCGTGGTTATGTCGGAATTCTAAGGGAGGGGCAAGGGCGGGGCGGAGCGGGACTACTGTAGTTCTAGCGCCCAAAGTTCTGGAGCGGAACCAGCTTGGCAAATTTCACTTGAACTTCTTCCCCGCCAACTTCTCTTGAGCCATTGACTACCACATCCACAACTCTCCACTCCTTACAATGTCGCACACTTCCCTGCGCCTCCTGCGCACCCACCGACCGCCATTACCGCGTCTCATTCTCTCACAGTGCCGACCTATTCTCCCGCGAGCCACCCTTCACTCGACGCGATCCGCATCCACAGAAGCATCCGATGCCCGCTCACTCGTCACTCGACTCAAGAACTTCCTCTTCGGAACATCCATATTTCTCTTCGGGGCATTTAGCTATCTCTACATCACCGATACACGAGCAGGCGTACACCAATGGCTCGCCGTTCCTGCTCTACGATGGATATACCCCGACGCCGAGGACGCCCATCATGTCGGGACCCAGACGCTGAAAGCGCTCTATTCGTTCGGTATCCACCCCCGAGAACGGAATCCGAAGGTACAAGATTCAAAAGGGCCGGACTTGAGTATCGAGGTGTTTGGGCATAAGCTGCAAAATCCAATTGGCACATCTGCAGGTATTGACAAGTTGGCGGAGATCCCGGATGCCTTGTTGGCACTTGGTCCCGCGATAGTGGAGGTCGGAGGAGCTACACCATACCCGCAAGATGGGAATCCGAAGCCAAGAGTTTTCAGACTGCCGAGCCAGAAGGCACTTATCAATCGGTACGGATTGAATAGTCTGGGAGCGGAGGATATGGCGATGCGGTTACGAGAAAGAGTGAGGCTATTTGCATATCATAATGGTTACGGGATTGGAGAAGAGGCGGAAGAATTGGTGTTAAATGGTGGGGCTGGCGTTCCGCCAGGAAGTCTGGCGGAGGGGAAGCTGCTGGCGGTACAGGTTGCGAAGAACAAGTTTACGAAAGACGAGGACCTTGACGCGGTGCGGAGGGATTACGTTTATTGTGTGGAGATGCTAGCGCCATACGCGGATATCCTTGTGGTTAATGTCAGCAGTCCAAATACGCCTGGGTTGCGGACATTACAGCGAGTTGAGCCTTTGACGAAGATTCTTGAAGGCGTGGTTGGAGCAGCGAAATCCGTGAACAGGGAAACGGCACCAAAAGTTATGGTCAAGGTGTCCCCGGATGAAGACCAAGATGAACAAATCGAAGGGATCGTGGAAGCGATCTGGAGAAGTGGTGTGGACGGAGTCATAGTTGGGAACACCACCAAACGGCGGCACAATTTGATACCTCAACATGTGGACCTATCACCCAAGGAGAGACAGATTCTGGACGAGCAAGGCGGATTCTCCGGGCCGCACATGTTCGAAAGAACACTGGGTCTGGTAAAACGATACCGTCGTCTCCTTGATGAAGGCCCTCCAGCTCCTCCGAAGGGAAAGAAACAACCCAAGGAATCAACCAACCCAGTTGCAGGTCCTACTTCAGGAGACGGACCCGGCTCAACCATCGTGGAGAAAGTTGAGACCGTGAAAGAGGGTTTGACAGGATCGGGAGGCACCGGATCTACGGGTGTAGGAGGGAGTCTCACCGATGGTTTGACTGGGGCTGGGCATGGACAAAAAGTCATTTTCGCCACGGGTGGCATCACAAATGGAAAACAGGCGCTGGAAATATTGAACGCCGGTGCGAGTGTTGCCCAGATATACACAGCGTTGATATATGGAGGTGTGGGCACGGTGTCACGGATCAAAAAGGAGATGCGAGAGGAGATCGAGAAGAAGGGGTAAAACTAGAGAGTTTGGTTCTGGTCCCTGTACAAATTACAGCGTTACAATTATATGCCGATTCATCTAGCTGTCTTTGGTGTCCTTTCTCTGCGGATGTTTCATACTCTCTCGTGTGGAGGTGGGTTCCGACTTAGTTCTCGTTCTGGTCTACACCCTAGCTGCCCTTCTTCGACTCATCACCACCTTACCATCTACATTTCAATCTCATGACAAAAGTTGGCAGAACTGCCATCCAAAAGAGGTCGCATTAACCACTACCAACATATCTCACACAACGCCCAAATCCAGCCCCCCACAATGCTCCAAGGTGATCAAGAATATGCAAGCGCAAAGACTGAGAATGCCAAGAACTACGTGTATCCCTTGGAGGTGGAGCATCACGTCGCTGGTCTGAGGTAGCAAACGCCAGAAGTCGAAGACAAAATAACTAGCATTGAAAAGTATCATGAAAATTTTGGCTATTTCCATGATTCCATCCCACTTTCCCAAAAGGGTCCCAGAGTGAGAATGAATATGCATGCACGATGGCAAGCAAGTGCTGCTTGAAGAACTCCCTGGTGTCAACGGGAGGAGTAAATAATCCGTCTCTATTCGAGGTGTGATCGAGTGCTAGCAACCAATGGGGTTGAGCAGATACACCCGATTTTTAATAACTTCGGCTGGCTGGTCATATATACAGGTTCATGTGGATATGCCTTTGCTAACATAGTCCGAGATTTGATCCTTTCTATATATATTGTCCACGGCTTGCGGGGTAAAGTTCCCTTACCAACCTCTTTTCTAGTCCCCCAAGTTGTGGTGGAAAACCAGGGGCGTCGTAATCGCATACAGCACGATCGGCGATCTAGGGCATAGGAGTTTGGTACGTTCTGACATCTGAGGACCACAACACTGGCACTTTCTGTTCCTAAATAATTCATTGAGGTATGATCACTCATTTTGTCGTGCAGTGCAAATCAAGAAAATCAACTCTGACCGTTCAATCGGGACAAAGGCTTCTCAATTAGGAACCTACATGTTATGTCAGTAGCGGAGGCTAGAGAGGGACTATTTAGCTAGCTACTCCCCATAGCAGAATACATTATCTTTCTGCCCCTACTCTGGCTTTCGCTATCGTTGAGGGCCCCCGGGATGTCTATCCCGTGACACTACAAATCCGCCCCCCCTCCCCCCACCAACAACCACACCACCTTGGCTGACAGCGCCATCCACTGGGAAGAGCATATGAAGCCACGGGAATTCTCAAAGTCGACAACGTCTATTTCCTCTGCGTCACCGGAAAGACAGGACGGAGATCTACACCCAATAAAATGTTCTACTCCACATCCATTGTCCATGACATCGCTCCTCAAGAGGAGACCTTCAAAAATGTTACCGGCACCGACTCCCCACACTGGGTTTCCATGCATTACATTCTAAACAACCCTGAAGGTATGCTGCCCTAGCACTCTCCGAATAGAATTTCACCGGTTTCCACCCCCTTCGTCGATGCAGCGGGCAAAGCACATATCTCACTTAACGACGATCTTGTGCCCACCAATACTCTCCTATTCAATTCTCGTGCATGATATCATAAAATATTTCCGTTGAAGTGACGGTGCAACCGGGCGATGTCAACACAATCACGCTTCGTGCGACAAGGTCTTTTGGTAAGTCTCCTCTGGGCTCGTTATGTATTGTGGCTTTCGTGGCTCCTTGTGCTCTAGAAGGTGAACGAGCTAATTGTTCTGTTTTTCGAAGATTTTGTGGTGCAGATAGTTGGAATTGAGGTCTTCGAGGAAGAATTGTAGTCTGCTGGCTCGAAGATGATGGCGGAAAATGCGTGTTGTCCTTACAGGCGCTTTGAGCGCCGAACATTGGCAAGTATCCGAAGCGAGCAACACCGCTTTAAGAGCCATAAGCAAAAGAGATGAGAAATCGTAAGAGGAACTGAAGTTGCTTCGGTACTCCGTAATAGAGAGCAGCTCGCTGCGAACTTGCTACCAATTATTCCTTTTTCAGTCCGTCAAGGGCCGTTAATACCACCCGAATACACTCTTTGAGAATTTGAGAATAGGCGGAACCAGGAAGAGCACCATAGTAGTAATTTGCTGCATGTTGCAAGGATCCTAATTCTCGGGCCAAGCGTCTGTCACCATTTATTAACGAGATTCTAGAGTAGGGACTGTGCAAAATGCTATCGATGGGCCAATCCATGTCAACTGGAAGTCCTGTGGGTAAGCAATTTTGCATAGTCACATTGCGGAGGATAGGGAATATCATGCTTACCTCTCATAGCGATAATCTATAGCTCCAGACACAGGTCCGCAGAACCAGAGATACCATAGATGGGATTTTGAACTTTATGAAGAGACCCAACGGTGGGTTTGAGTGCGAATCGAGTGAAATTTAGCCAGCGGGCCATCTAGAGTTCAAAAGCAGTGTTGGTGAAGCTTAGTCTGGTGAGGACGAAGTTGGGGACGGAGAGAAAGATAAGCTTGAGGTCTGCAGGTAGTACGCACGGACTATCTTGAGCCCTGTGCACCCTGATACAACCACGGTGCAATCTTACACCCAGCCTCATCTTACCGACCTCTTCAAACTCTCCCGTTTCCTCTGCATCTCACCGCTCATCGCTTTCTATACCGATCACGGCTCAGCTCAGAAAAACAAGATTGATTTCTCAATCCTAGAAGTGTCCATCCTGAAGATTCCGTCTAACGTCCGACATCATGGCAACTTCAATCTTCTCCAGAAAACGCGACCTCACCTACCTCATCTATTTCTGCATTGCAGTCCCTATGGCCTTCAGTGCGTCCCGTGCCCGTCCTCTACCGCCCCTGCCTTTTCTCTGTTCCTTTTCGCTCCCTTCTCTACCCTCCCGCGCCTTTCAGCCCGGGTGCAAGCTGACAAAGTCACGTGATAGTCGTGGACCTCCAACCACTCTACCCGCAATCTCTGATCCCAGGCTGGATGCAATCCATCACAGACTTCTACATAGACACCTACAACGACCTGTTCTTCATCGGCACCCCTCCTCCGTTCTTTGAGTTCTTCATGTATACGGAGATGTTAATTCAGGTTCCGGTCATGATTTGGGGGATTGGTGGGTTGCTGCGTGGTGTGTCCCCTTCCCCTCCCCAGCCAAACCTATGCGGATCCCATTCTTGAACTTTGTGAATGAGAGGTGGAAGCAGGGCTTACTCCGAACAGATTCCAAGATGGTGCCATTAGTTTTATTGCCGTTCGCTTGTCTAGTCTTCATCTCGACCGCGACTTGCATGTATGAGATGGTGCATTGGGATGTGCCGTTGAAGCAGAGGCTGAACTTAATGGCTCTATATGGACCTTATACTGCTTTGCGTAGGTTTTGAATTCCCTTGGAGTGTTCCGTCTTTTTGGAGGAGTTGAGGCTAATGAATCTGTGAAGCTGGGGTTATCGGAGTTGATATGTTCCTCCGCCTCAAGGGCATGATCGAAAGCTCTACCGGAGGATCCAAGGTTGGGGGTAAGAAAAACCAGTGAGCTGTTTTATGGATTTTTGATCCATTTAGTGAAGCAGGGGTTCAGTACGAAAGTTTCACGCACAGCGAGATTCGCGACCAGTGATGTCTTGTTTTCTCTCAGCTCCGGCATGCCCTTCTCCTTTCTGACACTTTGATTTGATTCGATTCTTTAATTAAAGGAGTTTCAAGGTAGCGCGTTAAATTGGTTCGGTTGGAAAGAATGTTTACATCGATGTTTACCGTAACGTTTCCAGTGACGAAACAAAAGTTTCTACTACCACAGCCCATTTCACTAAGTCTTTGTCTTCTGGGCGAAGCATCACGAATCACCTCCTACAAAATCATAACCACTCAAACAAAGATCCTCTTTCTACGTTTGTCTTTCATCATCCTACTTGTTGTCCAATTAAACTGAAAATCTGTCTCAAATCTGTCTCAAATCTCAACAAAGCCATTCTCTCTCTCCAAGCCTCCGCACTGTTCCAACGCTTCTCTCTATCTTCTCAACCTGTCTACACAGCCATGTTATATACCCCATTAAAGTGTTGTCTCCGCCTCGATGCATTCACACACCAACAAGACCTGATACCTTCAACACAAAATCTTAAAATGTCAGCCGAAACAGTAACCATGGCATCGCAAGAAGAAATTCAAGAAGAAACCATACCCTCTCAATGGGACAGCGGTGTTTTTGACCCTCGACTTCAACCTTTACCCTAGCAGCTTCTGGACAGGCGAAGACTTCATCCCCTACCGCAGTACCCTGTTGACAACTCTGCCACAATACTTCTCCCCACATCAGAGTATCACCAAACTCCAGATCTCAATACTATTCCCGCGCCATCATACACAATCTAACTCCCTCCGCATTACGCAACGGGATCTGGTGAACCGTGTCACTGCGATCGTCCGAACTAACGAAGGAGTAGAGGTCGAAGTGATTTTCCAGAGCCCAGAGACAGATTGGAGCCAACTGCGGTGTCTTGCGCCTTTCTGGGGACTGAAAGGACAGAAGTGGAGAGTCAGAGTGATAGACGGAGAGAGAGAGGCGAGGTTGATTATGGGAGGTTCAGAATTAGGGACGAAACTACAGGCGGAGTGGAGGCGGATGAGAAATGACCGGGAACTCTATTGATGAATAGATGGAGACGAGAATAGATGTGACTAAAAAGGGATTTACATCTGTTGCTAGACAGAAGTGAAGTCTAAGCTAAAAACAAAACATATTTATTAATGATAAATGTGGTACGGTGTGGTATCTCGGAAACGCCTAACAGTAATGAGATGGGTAGGTGGTAAAGTGAGAGCATCACCAATGGTCGGCTCTAAATGCGCTGGAACAGTATAGTCAAAATAGCGGCCTGTTCGCGATGCTATTATCGGCCTTGTAGACGGCCTTACGGTACCTTTCGCTTTAACGGCTGGCTTGTCTTCGTAAGTCTTTGACTTTCTTCTGTTCCTTCTTCGACAAGTGGTCAATGAAGAACTCAGAATCGGCTCCGCCCATCTCGTCATCCTCTATCACGACCCGTGGCTGGTATCCTGGATAGCAGAATCAGCTATATTAGGTATGTATATACGTCTAAAGAGAGAAGAGAAGAGGAGGAGCGGGGAGCTCGAGACTAGGATACAGGGTGCCACGCTAGGGCCAGGTCATGTGACGCTAACGTCACAACATCCTCGGCGGCCCCGCGGAGCTCTTCTCGGGAAGCATCAGCATGGGTCTCGGCGCGTACCTCGTAGCCCTGACAGATCGCAACCACTATGACGTCGAAATTGAGCGCGAGCGACGGCAAGTCCTCAACTAAGCGGATCAGGAGGATCAAGAGATGTATAAGTTTTTTGCTGGTTATGGGTTGGGTAAGGTGGTTTGCCCGCTTGCGAGGCAATTTAAAGGTGATCCAGAGGCGTAGGTGAAGGTACGCGTGGATTCCCCGATTAGATTGTTCAAACCATACCCGAAACATTCGTGACTATAATGCAGAGACAAAGCTAACATGGCAAGTTTATGGTGGTCTTTGAGCTTAAGCTGGAAAGGCCGAAGAACTCCAAGTGGTTGGAAATCAGCACTAGGAATGGGAGTATCATACTTCCTCGCTAAGTTCTTCGGATACCTCTGGTTTCAATTTGCTCACAATGGTGCACTCTGACAAATTACAGGTGGACTCATCCCCATGATCCCTTACTTCGCAGTAAACAATGTGGATAGAGCGCTCTTCAACTCTAGTGTTACATGTGTCGTATTGCTCATCTTCGGGTATTGCAAAGCTATTACAACAGGGACGACGAATAATTCGGCGCTGTATGGCGCGATGGAGGCGCTGGCTATTGAGGGTGTGAGTTATTAGATTGTGAGGGTGTGAATCAGGGGCTATGTGGAATAATGTGGAATATGGGAATGGAAAGCCTATAGTTAAAGTTTTAGGTTCGTTAGATAGATGTTTTTTTGCTGGTCGGGTCACGAATAGAGGCTGACACCGTTTTTAAATTGTACACCGAAATCAACGCAGCGAAATACGATCCGAATTGTAGAAATTCGAACTCTAATTTTACAGTTTAAACACGGTATAATACATGTAATAACTACTCGTGAAAAGAAACCAAGCACGCTTCAATCTAGCAGCCTCTCACAATACCCCGCTTGGTAGTTACAAGATTTCCATCCACATCTTTCTCGACCACAGGACCCTGGGTGAAGTCCTGGACTCTACCTTCGCGGCCATGGCCGGGGCATTCCCTGCAAACGACATCTTAGTATCGGTGTTACTCTGAACCACCCCTGGTCAGACAGTAATGATATGAAGCGCCACATATCTTGATCTTCTGGTTGCGTCCTCTTGCAATGCAGGTAGGTCGTATGTGGACGTTATTCTGGGGGCCGCAGACAGAACAATTCCCTTTCACGGAGCATAATTTCATATTTCTGCTAGTTGTTCGTCAAAAATGTGTAAATGAAAGCAGATCGTTCCAACTAACATTAAAAATAGAGACAACTTAAAATGCACAACGGTTGAAATATTCAAACAGGTGACTACAGGTATATCTAACTAGTTAGACTAATGTTAGCATTTTGATAAAAGGTTTTCTTGGGAGACGTACCTAGACCAAAATAACTAATGGACAAATTGAAGTAATTCAGGTTGGAGTACAATAAGCTACATTGCTGAGACTAGTCGACCAGAGGTCCAGCAGCTAGGTGACACAAGAAAGGGGCCGAACAGTCGGCCAGGGAGCTTTTAGGTGATTCTATGGGACTAAGGGTTTCGCCAGGAGCGCGGCTCAATTTTGCCGTAGTATCCACGCCGTCATTGAATATAAATGCAATAGAATATTGATGGAATGATCAAGTGGCAATGTAGTAATGTTCTCCTTTTCTATAAGCACCTTAGCCGAACCCCTGGCGGACGCCTGAATGAGCTACTGTAAGTCGTGGCGGCGCTAGGCTTGCTGCTGGAACCGTCAAAAAATATACCGCTTCACCTCATCTCCATCGACATGAATATCGACATCGACACGAGTCGTGGTTCTCGAAGCACAGAACATTTCGCATTGCTATGGAAGATGCTGTCCGTCTAGATGAGCAGGCGTTTAAGGCGATGTACGAGAGAGGATATTGCACGTGGTTCAGTCTTTATCAGACGACGGCGGCAGAAAACAAAACCCATCCCCCTTGGTGGGATTCCATGTTTCGGCTCGATCATCCTACTTTTCCAAAAGAACTTGCGATAGACGCGTCATTCTCCAACACTGCTCTTGCAAAAGGGACATCTACGTGGAAAACCTCTCAGGGGAGTTGCGATCTACCATCCTTTGATCAAGAATTCTTTATCCCAATCGCGTCAGATAGTCCAGTCACACTTGATATTTCGGAGCAGCAACAGCCTGCGTCCGCGTTCCAGCCATCACTTTTTGAGGATGACGACCATATTGCTCTGCTCGTACTTGCATGGACCTACATTCTTTCTGCCCGATGGGCCGAGATCATTCCCGGCGCGTCTGCCCCCGAGTACAGCAATTTCGAGGCCGAATGGGATCTTGGAAATACCCACTGTGGAGTGACGCCTACAAGTTCCACCAAATTGATCATAGATCTGGGCAATGTTGGTGATGACGCCGCTCGGTGGTGGGCAGCGGTCCTCGCCCTGGAAGGCGGTTGGAACGCATCTATTCCCAGCGACAGAGGCGACATCCTCCACTCCCCATGGTCTACGAATCTGATATCAGAAAAACGCTTTACTCTTTCACGTAGATCTAAATCTCGACTCCTTCCAACTCAACATCCTGCGGCATCATTCCCCGCCGCATTGCATTACCTTTCCAGCTACTGTGAACTCCACAATATTGCTGAACAAATGCACGCCGCTTTGGCAGCAACATTACTGCTTCCTGTAGCCAGATTCGACAACAGAAAGATCCAATTGCCGACTCCTCAAGTTCGACGTAAGGTACCGGTTGAAGAGAACATCCGCAAAACCTCTTCATGGAGTGGGAATCTCAATCAACTCGACAAGCTCCTCACTCTAAGCTGCAACGCTGTTGGAACGAAAGCCCTTCTCAACAGCGTCTTCTTTGAGCTTTCCGTGGAATGTAATATCTGCGGCACATGGTTGCAAGGCACCTTTGCGTTTCTCGACTCAGATATCATACAGGACCGGCATTCCCTTCTACGTGTTTTGATGGAGCGGGATGTGAGTCTGGGATTTTTATGGCTTGGTGCGTTCATCATCGGAGCACAGACACGTGCCTTTCAAGAAGCCCGTCTGGGCTGGTGGAAAATTGACCTTCATGTTGCAGCATGGACTGGCACCCTCATGTCTTTTATACAGCAGCCTGTGTCAACACTGCTCCCTGGGACAGGAGAAATTTTACGTGCTGACGAATGCCGCTTGATGTACCTCTCCCACGACCAATCTTATAAGGTTGCCCCGCTCTTCCCGTTCGCTCCATTCGGTTCAACGTTATTGACCGACGCGAATATCGATGTTCGTCAACATGCACAATGTGGGGCAAACCACAGTCTCGAGTACGAAGGGTTGACCTGGCGTTGTTTGGGCGGCGAGCGCATTGCCACTTTGCATCTCCGTAAAGCTTCCTTACGTGCCAAAAATGGGAATCCCGAATGCAACAATATCTTCATCGATTACGACAGCCTCGACAACGAGGATGATGACTGTTCAGAAATGGTGACTCGGAATATTTTCACTTGGCTGCGAGATGAGGATGGCTTTCCCGTTGCCGAGAGGGCCATTCGTGAACATGCGTGGATAGATAACTTGGACTCGGACGATGATGAACCCATTAAGGTCAACGCTCGGTTTACAACGGGAGGTAATCTGCATGGATGGTTGTCGAAAACAAGGACTTGGCGGTCTAATTCGCTCTAACGCACATTGGGGAGGTAGTTGTGTTTGCACTTCAGGGCTCGTTCTGTCCAAAGAGACTGAGGTAACCTGATCTTTTGTCTCACATCCAATTTAGACCAAAACAATTTCCCCAATCTCTCAACTTCTGAACACCTCTCCCCCTGACAGACTCCTGAATCACCAGGTTCATCATCTCAGTATGCCCAGTATTATACTCTCCTATATATCTCTGACTGTGCTCCACTCACAGCTCTAATAACAAGCCGGGAACTGTAGCCCATACGGTGGGTTTCCAGTGACGGATCCAGATGCCTGCCCTCTCGTCCAGACAAAAATTTCTCGATCCAGACCCGGAAGCGTTTCAACATGTCCAGAATTCGACTTGCCGACATCGTCATAAGTGACAGATGTCCAACGGAGCAAGACACATCCTTGTCAACAATGAATGGTATATCTCTTACGAAGGCGGCTAGTGCTGATGCTAAACCAGAAATTGTAGACAACTTGTCTGTCTCCCTTGTCAGGTTTCTCGATGTGATCTCTTCAACAAGATCACACCATAGCGCGAAGATGTTCATGGGATCTTGAACATAGGCATAGGGGATTCGACGTGGCGCTATTTAGTCGTTGGCTCTAATGAGGTATGCCGGAACTGTCTCCGCTGTAGAATTTAATCTCACAGGGTCAACTGTCAAGCGGATTTCGCCAACAAACACCCTTGACTCTGCATCCTCGCCCAGCTTTTGATTGCTGCAAAATTCTTGAATACAAGAGCTCCGCGCTGTCCTAAGAGAACCACCCAGTTGAAGTGACCCCGGATACATTTGATGTTGTGAGATTCCACCGGAACGAATTTAAGTCACTGGATATGATCTGATTCGATTTGATTGTTCCCCTTTGGCGTAAGAGAAGGAGCCAATGGCTCGCACGATGCATGAAATGAAAACATGAAACCGGGGGGATAGAATGCTATTTAAAGACGATGCAATGAATAGGCAAGCCATCCTCCAATTGGAGGAATCGATTGCTGTGGGAGAGAGTTGAAGGCAGCGAAACTATTACGCCGCTACATCTTAGTGCTGTTCGGAATTTGTTACACAAGAGTTTAAGACCCCCTTGGGAAAAAGATAAACTTGAGTTTGGGAAAGTACGGGGTTTTACTTATGACTCTAATAAGTTGAGGGCTGATATCAGGCTTGGCAGAAATACCTAATTTCTGGTATCGATACTATCGATAAAGTATCAATTCCCGGAACCCAATTCCCCCCTTTAATTGCAATTAACTTTAGAACCACTTCCCTTATAAGAAAACTTTTGGTAGCACAAATATTCTATTTAATTTAGGCTTTCTATTTAGCTACTTATCTTATAGTTTAGACTAAAACTAGTCTTAATACGGCTATTTTAAGCAAAAAATAACTCGAGATTTTTATAAGGCTCGCTTATAATAAGTATTCCGATAAGAGGTATAAATATAATAGTAAATTCATTAAATACAAGGGTCATTTTAAAATTAAGATAATATTAACTTTTATTATTAATATTAAGTAATTCCTTTAATAGAAAGACTAGAAAATAAAGAAATTATATATAAATATATTATTATATAAATTAAATAATAAATAAAAGAGATAATTTAAGACTAAGTATTAATTCTTGTAATATCTAAGTAATACTATCTAGTATTAATACCTTATTAATACTAAAAGTATTTTTGCCAAGCCTGACTAATATTTAAATAGTTATATTTATTTTTATATACTTGTAGTATATTAAAGAAATACTTAAACTATTTGAATTACTTAAGTATATACTTATTAAGTATTAAGTAGAATATAAGTAACCCCTCTATAACTAAGCTTAAGTAGAATAGAATAAACTATTTAAGTAATTTAACTACTTATTACGTGATTTATTCTATTAAATATCTCTCTTAATATTACAAATATTATTAAATTATTCTCTTTATTATTTTACTTTACCTTTATTATCTTTTTTATTACTTAGAATTCCTCTAATACTACTTATTATATTAGTAAAATTTAATATAATAATTATATATTATTTAATATATATGACTTCTAAATAATAAATCTAAGAGAAAAGAAATATATAGGGCTTATTTGACTTCTGCTTGCTCTTAGATAGAATATAGCCTTTTAAAGTAAGATTAAACTAATAATTAAATCGGGGAACTTGCCTAATATAATATATGCTTACACGTGACTCACTACTTAAGTTACTTAAGTATATACTTAATGAGTATTGAGTAGAGTATAAGTAGGATATATTTTGGCTGAGTAGAGTACGAGTAGGACGCACTACTCTACTCATTTGACACACTGCATGCTCGTGGTGAGTTCCAGTCAGAGAGTCGTGTTGTATGAGTGTCACGTGACCTATCATAAGGAATGATACTCACATTCGTAACGGCAAGTCTCAAGATGCACAAGATGCACGCGCCTTCAAGGATCGGAAACAAATAGGAGAAGGAAGAAGTGCATATTAATACTCCGATTCAAGTTCAAAGGTGCTCGTGTGTAGTTCATGGTCACCAAGATACCGACCTTCCAAAATAAATGGATATAGAACAATTGTTTGTGAATGCCTGCTAACCGGCCATGATCAAATTCAGACTATTTTTAAGTGCTTCCCAGCTGCAACGAAACGAAATAACAAAAATTACCCTGCCAGCACACTCATAAATCATAGCTGAGGTAGAGCACAACCCACTTGGCACTCCCATTGGCTGCTCGACACAACTGAGACAACCGCTAAAAAAAGCTTATTTCTTCGTCCTCGTCTGCAGCATCCTCCTCTACATCCTCTACATCCGCAGCCTGAGTATAGAATGGCTCGACATAGATCTCCGGATTAACATCGTCATTCAAACCTTTCGACTTGGATTTCGTTCTCGCCGCTTTCAGCCTCTCCGTGAACAACTTCTTGGCAATAAGCCAGGAGCCCTCGTCGTCTCTAGCTACAGGCACTTTGGTGTCCGATGTCGAGGTCTTGAGCGTCAAGTCGAGCTTCTCAATGCAGTCTCTCTGTGTTGCCTTGGCTACACCGGCAATGAATTCGGAGAGTGACGTCCCTTGAATCATCCCTTCGGGCCAAAACACCGTGGTGTCGCGAGGCTCGTGTGTGACGATGAAGAAGTTCATCTGAGGTTTTGGACGCTGTTGTGAGCGATTCTCGGAAGAAGAAACGTTGGCTTTGGTTTTCGGCTCTGACTCTTCATAAGTGGTTGCTGCTGGGGCTGTTCCGGGCTTCGTGGCAGGTGCGTTGTTCTGTACCTTAGATTGCCTAGGGGCGAATGGTTGTGGAGATTTGCTTGATGTCTTGTCTGCAGCGCTAGCAGAGCTGACTGGTGCATTCTGTTGCAATGGGCTTGGTCTTGGTGTTGGCTGAGAAGCAGATTGTATAGGAATCCTCGAAGCGTGTGCTGCTCCATTACGGAGATCCTTTTGCTGCAAACCCCTGGGCAAGTTGCCTGACTTGGCAGATGGTTGTGAGGATGGCGATACGGATGGTGCCTTGGGCTCAGCAATATCGTCCTCTACAGTTGGTGGTATGTACCCAGCCGTAGTGACAGGTGTTGTATGTGCACCCGCTGATGTGCCCGAAGGTGTAAAGCTTTTCTTCGTGGTCTTTATAATGATTTTGTGTGATTTCGGGGGCTTGTGCTGAGGGGAAGGCGTCTTTTTAGAAGCACGGGGAGGTGGCGGCATTTGAGAGGACCCTGATCCTGAGTTTGGCTTGCGTTTGGGCATGGCTATGGTCTCTCGGTGTATTTGAGATGTGTCAGAAGATCCGGCTTGTCTCGGGGGCTGATGACCAGAGGATCCGAGATCCATATGGTTCATCATTGGCGCCACCGGAGCAATTTGGGGACTTTGTGTGTAGTCTTCATCCGAAGAACTGTCTTCGTTCTCCATCTCTTTCATCAGCTGCTCAAATTCGGCATCAGAAATGGTGTCGTGGAATCGTGAGCTTGTTCGAGCCCGAAGGCTGTATTTTGCTCTTCTCTTGGATGGGTTGGTATCCCACATTTGTTCGGATTGACTCTGCTTCGAATGGAAAGAGGAGGTGTGGCTCGAAGATGGTTGCCTAACCACCGGTTCCTGCATATTGTCAGCTTATACCGAGCCAGTTGATCACACACGAGACCCTTACTTGTTCATCCGGCATGTCATATATGTCCTTGGTTGTCGGCAGAGGGCGGTCACAAGGAAGAGGTGGGCTGCTGCCGAACGATCCTGAGAGATCTACAAAGTTTGAAGTTGGTGAGAGTGTATTCTCGGCCGTTCTAAATAGAATGTTAACACGGGAGCAGACTCGGGAAGGTAAGCGGTATCATACTCTGACCTCGGGCGTTTTCGTGATGACTTCTTTGTCTCTTTATCAGAAGGTGCATCGATGCTTGCCATACGCTGTGGCGTACTCCCTTCCCTTGGAGACTCAGACTCTGAGTCCTTGTGATTCCATTGGCCATACGTTGCATTGTTCTTGAAGTATCTGTTCTGCTTGAAAAATAATTGAACAAGAAGTTCTATGATTCTAGGAAAGGTTAGTGACCCACGATATTATTTAAACGAAGTCAAGTGGTGAGCTGTTAGATGTGCCGTACCTCTCTTTGTCGTCTGGATATTGCAGCTTGGAGTCATATTTCCAGGGGCGACTTGCCGACCAGAATCGTTCCGCATTATTTTTCTCTGCGAGAAACTTCTCTGCCAATGTATGGAGGTCTTTTTGCACGGCAGGCGAGTGCCAGTCAACCAGGCCGGTCGCTGGTCCACTGTTGCTCGTTCTGCTGTTTTTCCGCCACTCTACTGTTATGTCCCGGAAGGCATTCTTCACTGTGACAGGGGCGGCATTGAGGCCGAGAAGTTCCCTGATAACATCAACCGAAGGGATTTTGCCGAGCGCCATCAAAGGTTTTTTGGATGATTCGGTCGTCATATCTACAAAGTCGGTGGGTATCATTTGTGTATGTCGCAGCATAGAGGAGGAGGGAAGTAAGGAGGGGCCATCCTTTTTCCATCGGGAAGGCAAAGCAAACAGGGGCGCCTACGCTAACCAATCTCGCTCACCTGGAACCAACAACCAACACCGACATCATCCACCAAGGATCGGAGAGGCCGAGCATACCACTGAAGCCTGATACGAGCCCTATATAATGACTCACACCCTCTATTACAACGATGGTGTTATTGGGGTGGATTAGATTGCAAAGCAAGATCCATCCTAAGGAGCTTTCGTCTCCCACCACGACATGCACATCCCAACTCACCTCGTTCATTTTGAGTACGATTTGGTCCAGAGCCTGATTTTCTTACTTGACTTTCTAATATCGCAATCCCTGAACTTAATCATTCCGGGTCACTTCCTATAGGGCGATTTCTCTCGAATCTGCCTTGCCATCTTCACTTCGTAAGCCAGCCGGGTGGGTGACATGTATGGTCAGCGTCTCTGGTCTACCCCACCCGAATGCACTAACCACGATCCGTGCACATTCTGTATCCCCTTTTCTCACGCCCCGATCAGTCAATCCATCTTGCAATGACTCTGTCAACTCGGATTCTGGAGCAGGAATTGAACAAAATTGAATCTAAACTCTTCGTTTGAACCAGAGCGTCCTGTGAATTCCGAACGACGATAAAATGAGAAACACAATTTGGTATATTCTGGCATCGTGTGTCGCTGTTGTACTTCTTCTATTTGTATTCAAAATCGGTATGTTGAATTGATATCTTCTATTAGACATTGAGAATTTTCCATCTTGGCAGTAGCAACGCGTTCGTTTGATCTCCGAGGACGAGTCGCGGATTGGTGGCGAGGAACTGTCGTAATAAGAATTAATAGTTATAGCGAATCCAAATCCCATTCGGAGTGTGGGCTTGCTCTTCCGCGGACGAGACGACGTCGCCGGCCAAGAGAGGATGACGATTGAGCTTGTCTCAAAGCGAGACGGGAGGGAGAACATCAATTCTCTTAAGATCATAGCTCCGAGAGGTTTACAAATTGCGTGGACCATGAATAAAAAGGTGCGTATCGACAAATAGTATGTCGCCTGCGACTTGTGCTAACAATGCGCCTCTAGTCTGCGCATGGTATCATTGCCTAATGAATCTGCACGAACGCCGTTTAATGCCGTATACGACCGCGACACGCTGGGCTTCAGGCCGGCTGGCAGAGGTAGACGACTGGCCTCTCCAGTTCGAGAAACGAGCGACGGGAACTCTTCGAGCAAGTGGAAGGAATATACGGGGACAAGTTGGGATGACACACAATAGAATTTATTTAGCCAGGGAGGGGCGATGCAGGATCTGATTTACGCTTTGCCTGTAGAGTTGGGGTCCGGTCGCAAAGGCCACTCAGAAGGCAAGGAAGAGATTGTAGTCTTCATAGAGAGGCCTCTCTAGGTTACCTCAAATAGATATCATTTCCAGTCAAGAGAAGCGGATTGAATGCTCAAATCTCGAACTTTTGCAGATGAAGGGTGAGCCCGTATGCCCAATCAAGGAGAAAAGATTCCAGTGACGCGTATCAAAACTTAAGAGTAGACGCGTAAGGCTGCAACAGGTACCTCTTGCGCCCGCGTGAATAATACGGTGCGGCAAGTACCCGTCATAACACAATTTACTCCTTCTCTTCCTCAACTCGGCAGCGCAAATTCGGAGACGCATATTAGAAAGTCAATTCTCCTTCAAACTACGACAGACCCCTATTGTTGCGGAAGATTATGAAAATTTTCCTTTTATCACATTATAAAGTTGGTGTTCTTCAGCTGACCAGCACTCAAAATTAAGCGAAATATCCCCAAAAAGTCCATTTCTAGCAGCTCAAGTTAAGGCGATTCTAAGAACGATTAACTGTCGACCAGGCACATTTGGCCTCGTAATTTAACAGGATGCTCCCAGATCATTCAAAGGTGTCCGGCGTTCGGATTTATTCTTTTCAGGACATCTTTTTCTATTGTCACACAAACCCCTATCCGTTTTGGGAAAGACACTTAGCACGTGATCGTATCCAGGACAGATGCTCATAGCAATCTTGACCTGAAAATAAAATAAAAACGTTTGACTTTCTTTGACTGTCTTTGAAACAATTAATGCAGGCATTAATATTTCTTTAGCACTTCGTTCCTGAGCATAAGATTTGCAGGTTTGTGCCACAGACATAGCTTGCCTAAGCCTACAAATGTTGCGGGTGGAAGCCCTTAATTTTGGGCTCTCGGTCGCCAAATTCAAACGCGCTCCTGTCTATTCCAACCCCTACGTCCTACACTACGCAGAGGACACTACATTGCAGAGGAGATGGAACCATTAGAACGTAGTCCTGTAGGAAGGTCACTAGCACAATGAGCAGCATAAACACTTCCTTGGCGAGATACATTGTATTTGGAAAAATGTCTTGCTATGATTATGGCCGAAGACAAGGACGCAGATCGCCGCATAAAGGGACGTGATTGGACAGCATTTGACGCCTTTTAAGAACCATTTCTTGCGCACTCAACACTGAACAGTCTGTAATTCCAGGCCATTCTACTAAAAGTTCGCTGTAAGGTAGGGACAAGGGGTACTTCAGCTTTTCAGGGCTTACCCCTGTAGATACAGGGACTGCCTCGCTAAGAAGCCCTATTCTAAGCCCCTCCTCACTGTCCAGGCGCTGTAGCTGGCAGCGCTATAACTCTGGGAGATATCTCTTAAGCAGAATGACAAGGAACTCCTAATAAACACTTCTCCAACCGTTCCCACAACGCACCAGCCCCAACAACGTGTATGAGTTCTACTCTTCCAAGTCCCTATATTACGAGAAAGTTCGGGATTTACCATATTTTCTTCACACATGTCGCAATGCCTCAGTTTCAGCAATCCCAAGGTCTCTGCGAACTTTGCACCAAAAACCTAAACCGGAGCTTCTCCGCTGGGGAAGTGAGAGATAGCAGGGTACCCATTTATATCTCCCGCGTGACAGGCACCACTGTCCGATCCGACTTAGAAGTCATCTCATCAGTAAGCATTGGCGGGCTGTAAGCTGTGTTCTGAAATGTTGCAAGTCCATCCCATCGAAGTTTGCAATAGTTATGATTGGACAACTCGAGACAGCGGCGTCAAAGAGGCACTTTAGGATCTATTATTTCACCCAACTTCTAATTAAACAAATTTGCATTAATGCAGCTCTAGGCCCTCAGAAGATAACTAGACAAAGGTCTATCGTTCAGACAGACCATAATAATATGTTGTTTGTGCTTATTCTGCCAAAGCCCCAACTCTTGAATAATATCATTTTACGATACTATATGGTAATCGTGTAATCATGTAATTATCTAGAGGACTTCGGCACCTTCCAAAATCCCAAAAAAATTATGACGATATGAGGCTCTATTACAATGCATTATCTGAAGCAATTCTACCAAACCCTAATGTACATAACGCCATCTAAATGCATGGTATCTTCAGTCGCTGATAAATGCCAAGTCTCTCTCCGAAATACAACAGTTTCCGCGTTTTATCGTCTTCGCAGTCCACGTAGGCGTTCTTGCACCTATGGTTAGAGTTCTCGCCTTCGACGACCAGCACCCTCAATTAGGGTTCTATAGTCGACATCTCCACACTATCCGGGAGATCTACGATAGCTGGCGAAAAGAACAAATCCCCAGAGATTGTTCCACGGATAGTATATGCAGAAGCAACAATCCAGAAAAGAACAACTGTAACAGTGAATACCTATGTGTGGATTAGCCTCTAGGTCTTTTATAAAGCAGTGAGCCCCAAACTTACAGTTCCGAGAACATCAAAGAAAGCGGATGGCATTTCCTGTCCCATTGTGATAGTTGAGCCAGTGAATACCCCCGTAGCAAACACGATGCTCCACCAACCCATGTTGAACGGAGATTTTGATCTGCCAAACGAAGCCACGGCCCAAAATAGCCACGCAAGTCCAAATCCCCACATCAGAAGGGCAGTTAAGAAGCCGAAGACATAGACAATCTGCCCAGCAGAAGGTATAATTGCGTTTGTCGCTGGGAAGACGGTCAATGCAACCTCGCCCAACTTCATGATCCCGAATCCTCCTTCACCGAGGGGTCCCAAGGGAAGGAAAACCGAGGAAATGACGGCTGGCGGAGGAAGTTTGTGCATCGTCAAACGATGGTAATAAAGCACCAATGTGAAAAGTGCAAGTGGCACACCAATTCCCCAGAGGATGTAGCTGACGATCAAAGTCCAGAGAGCATGTGTGGGATTCGGTAAGACGCCTGCGACCGTACCGCCGGTTGCTGCACCAATAACTGCCCCTACGATAGGTAGCAGCCATAGAGTTGTCACGGAAGAGATGTCAGTTTTGTGAACAGACATACTAGATGCTGCCATTAGCCAACGATCTAAGTAAAATTCGGTATAAACAGATACGTACAGCATAAATGGGAGATAGAAACAGATTGCCATCGACAATACAATCTCGATCCACCATAAGCTCCAAGCCAGAGTTACTGCCCAAGAACCCCAGGCTGGGACGCAAACGTTTACGATCATCTGGACGAGGATTCCGAGGCCCAGTGGACAGGTTCCGAGGAACAACGATTCGGTAGGGTGATTCAACATGGCGGCCCATATTTCGGGGAAGAGGAGGTATCGCAGGGCGGAGATCAAGCAGAAAAGAACAAACAATACAAAATCTAAAACAAAGAAGATGATCGATAATCCGTACAGCCATTTTCCGTTGTATGGAAGTCGAAAGAGCAGAACGGCGATGACACCAGTTCCCATTGTTATAGCGAACCATCTATTGTAAGAATCAGAAATAAGTCCATGTTAGCACGTGATATCAGGGGAACTCACGATGGAGTAAAGTTGCGAACTATTCTTCGACACCTTGACTTGATGCTGACTGGAGGAGGCTTCTCCGAATTGGGGCGCTGCGGCTGCTGTGTAACCGTAGAAAGGCTCATAGTTGATTTGGATGCTTTGAATGCTGGCAGATACCAGATTTCTCTTCATCGATCTTGTGGCTGGAAATATATACCAAGAACGACCGGAGATACATCACCTCCATTATTGCACATAACAGCGGCTTCGGCCACTCATGTTGCTTAGGGCATCCGGGTTGGAAATCAGCAAAACCTAGCGAGGATGTTGACGGAAATGCCAGGACTGAAAATTTGAACACCGCAGCGTGGTAGGACAGAAATTCAGGGAGAGAACGTTCTTGGCAAAGGCGGTGTGCGTTCTCCGAATGCCGAAACATAGCTCCCAATCACACACACCACACCTCAAAATCTTTCTCTTATTACTCATCCCCACACATTGCCTCCGTAGTCCTCGTTCGTCACAATTGAGTCGATGCCCCACATTCGCAGCACCTAATTTGTGCGCCCGCTCGTATGCTGCAGAAAAAAAGTGTATTAAATTTACTCTCAGTGCATCATCCATCGGACCGGCCCCAAGCGGGAAATGCTCAACACGGAGGGGACTCGGAGTGTTCAGGCGAGTTGACTGAGCTGAGGGCGATCATCGCCTGAGCAACAGCCGCTAGCTTACCAACTATATGTAGGCATACAAAATTTAACAGTGAGAAAAATTGATTCACAATACCCGGTATTCCGATCTTTGATGTCACGATCTTCGGACCGTCTACCCCGCAAAATTATCGCGATAATCTAAAAACCAGAGTCACCCAAAAGAGGACAATCCTTGTAGGAAAAGGTAAATGCTATGCCCGACAAAAACTCATGGTTCAGAGCATCCTTAACGGAAATACTCATTATACAGAGCATAACACCCTCGCTGACATCGCGTAGCTTTGTAGAGGCCCAGACAATCAATGAACGAGACACCATTCTTTGCGTAAAAAAAGGTGTTCACGGCAACTGTGTTTTCACCGCCATTAAGGTCTCAGATGAGGGTTTCGGTGGGAGCCGGGGGTAGAGTGCTCGTTGAAAAGATTACGTGGATGAATGTGCTCGTTGGGTGGAGTGTAGTTTGATAGATGTAAGTATGAAATACGGAGTTGAAGGTGGGTGAGATGGCTCTAGAGGGATTTCTAGCTCAGTGGTCGTTGTAGTGGTTGTGGTAAGCGCCGAGGTATCTGCTGCAAGGGGATCGAAATCCGACTATAAAAACATATTAGTGCATTGAAAGTGAACAATGTCCATTTAAATAGAGAAGCAAAAAGCTTGCTCAAGTGTGCTAGGATGGTGTTATACTACTCACAGTCAGAGTTGTGTAGAATGTGGTGGTAGTGGTCGTGGATATAACAAGAGGTGGGGCTGAGCCAATAAGGTATGAATAAGCGCTCCTGATTTGTGTTGCGTGAGGCTTCACAAGTACCGAAGAGGCTTTGTTGTTGGCATTTCCTCTCTTGCGTTTTGTATATTAGCCGTTTAGCGACGTAGCGAACGCAAAAAGGGGTAGACTGGTAGGTCACGGTTGTAGTCCTTCATTCGGTTAACCTAGCCAGGGATCTTCGTGTTGCGAATGGCGCAAGTTGTCGTTTGGACATCTGGGGAAGTGAAGCTGAAATCCACTTTTTATGTGTCTATTATCGCAAGTACTGCTGGTACGCTGGTCTGCGCATCTGGAAGAGTGGCTGAGCTTGTGGTAGGGATTGTCAGTGACGAAGTTGGGAGTACTGTTGTCGTTGTGGATATTGAATAAGGTCAATGGCGCCAGGTCGGTGGGATGGCCGAGAGAGGTCCACTGTACGGATATGTGTGGAACAGAAAGAGTTGCGGGTGGCAAGACTAGAGGATTCCAAGGGTCCCTCAGAATGTTGTCCGCAACACCAGTAAATATCATGGTTTTCAACAGGGCGGCGTGGCCGAAGAAATGCATGCTTGAGATTGTCATGGTATTCATCTTGACTGTCTGGAAGGAGGCTGAAGTCACAGAAACTCAACTTTGCGGAAGGGCGGAGAAGATTTCGTCAAGTACCCTGTAGTTTTCCGGGGCTTTTGGAGGTATTCGTCAATTTTGTTTTTGGCGAACTGTGGCGAGTCTCTTCTTTAATTTCAATTTACTATATAAAGAACAATTATAATTTGATTATATCTCTATATTGTAGAAGGCTTGGTTATAAGCTAATAGAAAATAACGTTTTTATTATATAATAATTAGTAATTTTTGAAAAATATTAAAGAAGATAAGAAAAGTTGAAATTTTAAGGCCTTTAAGAGAGCCTGAAAATTTAGCGATCAAGCACCTGGAACTTATTGACCTCGTGCGCAATCATCGCCTCGCCTTCCCCACGCCTCAAAATTATAACTCTTATATATAAACTTCCTTATACCTGTATTAAGAAACTTGATTTGAGTAAAAGTCTTAAGTAAGCTCAAGCAACTAGGCATTATTAAAACTCTAAAATCTATCGATATCCCCAATCGACACGCGCGGGGGGGTTGTTCGTTTTACATTTTCCCGGAATAACAGGCCAGTAACTCGCACAATGGCGGAGCTGAATGCAAGCCAAATCAATATTCTTGAGGACTCGTAGTTGGACAAACGGGGAGAGGTGAGACCTTTGAGCGACTCAGAAACATGCATTCTCGGAGCAACGAAATTGATACGCGCTGGGCCTTTGACTCCTTGCAAATGGAGCAGCCTACCCGTATAAATGGCTGCGTGACAGTGGCCACTCCGAACCTGAGATGTCCATCTTCCAGTGCATTGAGATGACGCTCGAGGGACTTCTTTGCACCTCTAGTAAGCAAATCTCCACAACTTCAAACTCTAATAACTTTCCACAAAAAAATGATTCCCTTAATTGCCCTACTAAGATTGTAAATGACCATTTGCGCAACAAGTATTCCTAGTTTGTTTCAATTTCTATAAACATTGGCCTGAATAGGAAGAATTAGAGTGATGGGACTTTTGATGTTCCTCTATTTTATTTAGCAAGGTGCAAAGCTGGTGGCACGGCAAACGGATAATCGTTCTGTTTGGTGCACCCGAGCCGGAGGTTGACTGCCCCGCCCAAAACGTTGGTCGGTCGCAGACATCTGTCTCACACAGTGGGACTGACAGTGCAGCGAGGGGAGCTCAACGGCACTTCCCACCGCTGATATTGCGGCTTAGAAAGTTTGCGCAGGTGTGGAATTAGCTTTGATTTCTATTTGCGATAAGGTAGACGGAAAGTAGTCGAATAAAATCGGAACTCCGGACGATGAAAACTCAAGTTGTCTCGGGCTCTCTCGTTCTATAAACATGCTCACACAAGTTTATAAAACTTATTGAGGCATTCAAAGTACTGAGAATTCCCTTCGTGTCGACTAGGTGAGTAGTAATGACTTGAAGGAGATCGTGCCCACGCGAAATTGCGTCGACCCCGACGAGGGGCGGACAAAAACGAAGGGCCAAAAACAAACCCACATCGCTGCTTTGCTCTCAATTAGACTCCTCCATTTCCTCTTGGGTCTGGCTATTGATATACTGTAATGCTATTCATTCTTGGCTGTCTGCGGACACTAGTCCATTTCCTCCCCAGTTTTTCAGTGCTGATTTGAGGAAAGCTTATTTCAACGCCCATGCTTTCATGTCGTCATGCGTTGCTCCTCAAGTCAATTCAGTTCCTCCACTGGAGGACTTGAGTCACTCGACTCCCCTTCCTCGCTCCACGCAGCAATTTTCGTACTCGTCGGGTATGACTCTGTCAACATGAGATTATCACGTCATCTTGTCAATTCTGTTCTTTGAAAATGTTCATCGCTACTTCCTCCTTTATTCAGAAGAGAAAGAGATCAGCAGGTTGAAAAGTCGTCATTTCCCCACTGCCACTCACGGCCGTTCCCCCACCGCCCTCGGGTAGACCCCTGATCCCCCTATTCCAACTTCCTGACTGATTCTTGGCGTATCAGGGCATCACGACGTCTTGAAAGCTCTGATCCAATATTCGACATTCAAGATTACAACCAAGGGGATGCCAAACGTTTCCCTCAAACCCCCCCAACCATCGTGTTGCTCGGGCCGCTGCGCTTTCTTTACAAGGTGATTCGTGTGCCGAGGCTAGCGACTGCCTAATTCTCAAGGAGGAAGCGCGGGCCATCCGCAGGCGCAGCACTATGTGTCATTGCCCACTATGGTCAAGTCCAATCAAAGAAGCGGGGTGGATGCTGTGCCCGTCAGCATGCCCCGGTTCCGCCACACAAACAAGGAAGGAATGTGGAAACATCGCGGATCATGTGTGGTGAGCGGTGACAGCCTCAGCAGATGACATTGTCCCGCCTCAGCCCAGCAACCCCACGAGAAATAGGCTATCAGCGTACAGTACAGGCCAACCAGGGCGAGGACGGATCAGCCGGTCTCCTTAGGGGAAGGTCAAATTCGGGCTTACAGGTATCGATGTATTCCGAGGTTCTCACCTTCTGGAATAGGCTTGGCATCAGAAACTATAAAGCGTGCAGATCACGAAATCCAGAAATTACACAGCATGTGCGCGATTTGATGATCAACACGGAAGTACAAATAGCTGGGTTTCTTTTCCGGATTATTTTCTGCTCCCTGTTCAATCATTTTTGTATTCCAATATGACGGGGTTGAAAAGCTTCGTAGCCCTGCTCCTTGCCGGAACCGCGATAGTCAACGCCGTAGCAATCCCCCCACCGCATCACGAAGTTCACGAGAAACGCCATGCATTGCACCCCAGATGGACTAAAAGAGATCGTGTCGAGCCTCATAAGTTGTTTCAAATGCGTGTTGGGTTGAAGCAGTCGAATCTGGAGAATGGTTACCAGCATCTTCTACAGGTGTAAGTACATTTATGCCGGCTTCCTTTCCGACTCAAACCCCAGGGATTCGAATCTAAGCTCTCTCCTACAGTTCCGATCCATCGTCTCCACATTTTGCGAAACATTGGACAGCTGAAGAAGTGGTTGAAGCTTTTCGCCCCTCCAAGGAGACAGAAGATCAGGTCCGAAATTGGCTCATCGACAGCGGGATCCCCGAGCAAAGAATCACCCACACCGAAAACAAAGCATGGTTCGCTTTTTTGGCAACAGCTGCAGAAGCTGAAAAGCTTCTCTACACCCACTTTCATGAATATGAAGATTCAGAAACAGGTGGAGTGATACCTGCTTGTGACCAATATCACGTGCCAAAGCATATTCGGCAGCACATAGATTACATATCTCCTGGAATCAAACTCATGGCTCCAGTCGAGTCTCATCGAGAGAAGCGAGTCGCTGCTATGGGTGAATACGGAATCAAGTCTCGAAGCGTCCACATCCAACAGCACAAAAGTGTACCAAGTACGGACCCGAATGATCTCAGTACATGCGACCAACTAGTTACTCCGGCCTGTGTCGCAGCACTATACAAGATTCCTCCCGGAACGAGCAAGATTCGAGGAAACTCACTGGGAATCTTCGAATCCGAACTGCAGTTTTACACACAAAAGGATTTAGATTCCTTCTTCACGACTTATAGAAAGGACATCGAGAACGGCACCCACCCAATTGGAGCGAACATTGATGGAGGAATGCAATCAACGAAAGACCTTTTCCAAGCTGGCCCAGAAGTCGCTCTCGATCTTCAACTCGCGTATCCCATTGTTTATCCTCAGGAGATTACACTTTACGATGTGGATGATTTCATTGTCCAAGCGAATCAATTGGACACTTACACCTTTGGTTTCAACACTTTCTTAGATGCTCTTGATGGTGTACGTCGAAATCTCCTAAAGTCTTGAGTAATCACAACTGATTCATCCTTAGTCATACTGCAACTTTTCAGCCTATGGCGAGACCGGTAATGACCCCAACCTGGATCAACAATACCCAGACCCTAGTATCGGAGGCTGGCACGGGCAACTCATGTGTGGAGTCTACAAACCGACTAACGTAATTTCCCTCTCCTACGGCGGACAAGAAGCAGATATCCCAGTTTCGTATCAGAAGCGTCAATGCCTCGAGTACATGAAGTTGGGTCTTCAAGGTGTCTCGTTCCTTTACGCCTCAGGCGATTCCGGAGTCTCGAGTAAGAATTCCAATTCCCGTTCCACATCTTCAACTAATAAATAAACAGACTATCCCACAAGTTTTGGCGGCACCGACGGCCCAACCGGCTGTCTCGGCCCTAAAGGAAACATCTTCAACCCCACCTGGCCCGGCACCTGCCCCTTCGTCACCAGCGTCGGCGCCACCAAAGTCTACCCAGGATACACAGTCAATGACCCTGAGTCCGCCGTTCTCGACCCAGCATTCCCTCCTTACTCCTCTGGGGGCGGATTTAGCAATATCTACCCCATCCCTGATTACCAGGCAAAAGCTGTAGCCACGTATTTCGACAAACATAGCCCGCCGTACCCGTATTATAGTGCGCTGTCCCCGGATTCGAGTGAGGCACCGGACATTACAGCAATTGTGGGGAATAGTAGCGGCATTTATAACAGGATTGGGAGGGGGATTCCGGATGTGAGTGCGAATGGGGATAATGATGCTGTAAGTCCACTGCCTTCTTATTTCGGATGCGGAAGATGTGCTAATGGGTGGAGCAGGTCTACGCCGGAGGGAACGCGAATTCCTTTGGTGGCACTTCTGCTAGCACACCAATTTTTTCGGCTGTTATTACAAGGCTGAATGAAGCAAGACTGGGTGTGGGCAAGAAGCCAATTGGGTTCTTGAATCCGTCGCTGTATGCTAACCCCTCTATGTTGAATGATATTACGAATGGTCAGTATATCCGGTGTTACAAGGTCTCTAAGGTGGTCTCTCATGCTGAATAGGGACTAATGTTGGCTGCAACACAACCGGTTTCGCTGCTGTTCCCGGGTAATGTTCACAGCCTCTTTCCCTCTCGGGTCTTGCTAATAAGTCACAGATGGGATCCGGTCACAGGACTTGGAACGCCAAATTACCCAAAGATGCTCGCATACTACCTCAGCTTGCCATAAAGGGCTAGAAGTTGTCTTCAGTGGACAATGTGCGAAAATATAATTCGGAGCAGATGTGAAGGATTGGTTTCCGGTCATTGTAATCACCTGGTAAAGCAAGAGAAAAGGCTGTAATCGTAGATCAAGAACAATCAAAATTGATGCCAGCCAATGTGGCCGTTGAAGAAGGTAACTGGCCCAAGAGGTCATTCGTACCCCTAGTCATCCGTCCCAGCACTGAATGTGATGGAGAACATAGCGATTGAATCAACTTTGATTTCTTCCAATATCAATCCCGCGAATGAGAGTTCAAGACTAGCGACAAAGTACAGAGATCGACCTTAAGGCATCTCTATTCCGGAGCTTGGCCCTTCGTCGGCGTTTCTGGGGAATCCTCCTCAGCAGCAACTTCTTCGATAGCTTCTCCAATAATGCGACATCCCTCAGCCATGTCCTTCTTTGTGATATTCAGCGGAGGAATGAAGCGCAGAGTGTCATAAATAGACGTCGTTAACAGAAGCATATCCTTCTCCATGCACTTGGCCTGGATCTTTGATGCATATCCCTTCCCTGGCACACACTCCAGCGCCAACATCAACCCCAATCCCCTCACGTCGTAGATCATGTGCCTCGTCTTAGGGTCTTCCTGAGCAGCTCTGAGCGTAGACTTCAATTCTTCTCCTCTTGTGTTCACATTCTCCAGAATCTTCTCCTCCTGGAATGCTTTCACGACGGCAACTGCAGCTGCGCATGAAACGGCGTTGCCGGAATAGGTTCCGCCCATTGAGCCAGGCTTCTGCAAATCCATCAACTCCTTCCTCGAAACAATACCCGATAGCGGAAATCCATTCGCAATTCCCTTAGCCATGATCAGAATATCTGGCCGCACACCCCAATGCTCAATGGCGAACAACTTGCCTGTCCTCCCATACCCACACTGCACCTCATCTGCCACCATAAGAATACCATTCTTATCACAGATCTCCCTCACCCTGGCAAGATATCCGGCGGGTGGAGGAACATACCCTCCCTCCCCGAGCACCGTCTCAATAAAGATAGCAGCCGTGTCTGATGGCGCCGTCTCTCTCTTCAAAAGTAGCTCAAGCTGCAGCACCGGATCCATACAGCAATTCTCGAAACCAAACTTTCCGTCTGAATGAGTGGCAACAGAGCATTGCTTGCAATACGGAAACGGCACCGCAAACACGCCCGGCATCAACGGCGCGAAGTTCTCGCCATAAACAGTCTTCGAGCGCGTCATCGCCAACGTGCCCATCGTGCGTCCATGATAGGAGCCCTGCATCACAATGACATTCTGCTTCTTCGTCGCATGTCTGGCAAGTTTGACCGCCGCTTCCACAGCCTCGGAGCCGGAATTCCAGAAGAAGAATGTGTCCAGAGACTTGTGCGGCATGAGCGGAATCAGCGCGTCAACGAGCTCCAGATACGGCTTCTGGAACGCAATGTTGACTTGCCCGTGCACCAGCTTCCCGACTTGTGCCTGAGCGGCTTTGGTAACGGCGGGGTGGCAGTGCCCGAGGTTGGTGACGCCAATTCCGGATGTGAAGTCGAGGAGCTTGCGGCCGGAGACCGTCGTGACATAGCTTCCTGAGCCGCTGTCGAGGACCTCGGTGGAGAGGCGGCCGATTCCTCGCGCGACGTGCTTCACGCCGAATTGAGAGAGTTTGGCTGCTGCGCTCATAGTGAGATGAGGTACCCTGTAAGGAAGGAGATTGAAGATATAAAGGAGATTAGAAGCGAAATCGCCCTTGATGTGCACGTGGCCGTGGATGTTACTTGCTTTTCCCTAGCGAACTACGTCACAAGTCGGGATTAAATGCGGGGGTTAGGAAGGGCTTGGACTAGCCAGCACCCGTAGCACATTTTTGATTAATAAGCACGTACGACTCTACTGGTGCTACATCACCTCCCTTTACAGACCTTGACGAACATATAGCGAGCTTAGTGTAGAGATTTCTTGTTTTAAATACCATCACAGATTCACAGATCGAAGAGCAATCGCTGTGAGTTCTCTCTACTTTTGAAATCACATGAGAAGTTCAGCCGCGTGGCTCGGATATAGCTCATTAGCGATTTTGAGGGTGCAAAATGAACTACAGTCGATCCGATCCAAAAGCGACAAAATGAAAAAAGTCTACCAAAATACTAACTAATGTAAATCGTATTAATCGGAATTACCATATATCTTATAGTAATTAATTCCCTGGTCTCCGATTTTTAATACCTTTAATATTGCGGGAGTTACAAAGCACGTGATCATTTTTATACGAGCTCGCATAGAAATTTTCGCGTTTTGTATAAGTAAAAAATTACACCTCGTATAATATATGAGGTTTCACGTGATTAAAATCATGGACTTTTTATACTTTATACTTTCTTTACTAATAACTCTCCAAAGTTTAAGCTCTTACTATATATACTAAGCTTATAGAAGCTTAAGGGGCCTTATAAGGCCTTTTAAGTCTAAGTTTAATTTACTATTTATTTAGGTACACGTGACTTTCGTGAAATATTTTCGCGTTTTGTATGGTCAAAAATCAAAAAAGTAAAAAACGTCCATATACTTTAAACCTCGATTACTAATTAATTACAAATCGCATTAATAATCTGATTAATAAGTTTCATTCGCCTGGGTCTTTTCTATAATTACATTACTTAGTATTAATTAATTGGGGTTGTGGTTAAAAAGTTATTATGGATACAAAAAGGCGACCGTTTTGTTGCTTTTGGATCGGACTGACTGTAAACATCTGGAGTTTCTCATAGATAATGTACCGTATTATCTGGCGTATATGAACTCCCTCTCGTTCAGGACCACCCCATAATAAAAGACCATTTCCAGAGCAATTCCATGGTCTCATATTACTAAGCTATTGCTTAATTGGCTAGTTTGAGGTAATTCAAGTAATCTCCTAGCAGATTTCCCAGCTAATTCTCAATGTATATAATTTGTGGCACGTAATATCAAGAGCAATTGGTGGTGCGGGTGGGAGTTTAGGAGAGAGAATAAGAGAGAGGAATAAAGGTGTGAGGAATTAAGGGGTAAGCACAACACTATACGGAGGTACAGCCCATAAGTATTACGACGCCACTTGCAGGGATCTCAATTTTACCACCTAATGATACAACCACAACGCACCACCAAAGCACAAAAAATAGATTGATGTATAGATCCCCTCTTAGGGATCATTTTAGTGTTTAAATAAAGGCTTTTGGTTGTGTATAGGAAAAGTTATGAGTGTTGAAATCGCGTGTGGCGTTCAGACCCTTGTAGTGGCGTCGTAATACTTATGGGCTGTACCTCCGTACTAAGCGGTTTTTAGTGAGATCGACGTATTACTAGACCCTCTTAGGCTTAGGACCATTCCCTGACGAATTATTTAGGTGTGGAACGGGCTACCCCTTTGTAATAGGCACACGTGATGGCGCATGGACAGGTGTCAGATGTCGTAAATCTAGTTTCCTATTTTGGGTAAAGCTTGCGATCGGAATCGTACGGATCGCCTGGGATCGCATTTCCTAATTAAGTAAAGGGCTTCGTATGCTTGGCTAAGTACTAGGGAATATATAGGGAAACGCTCCTAGCTTTGGAAAGGGGCATCGATTAGCCTTTTACTAGAATTAATTCTTGGAATTAGTTATATTTGCAAGCGTCACTCTATAGCTTACTTACCTTAACTACTTATATATTACCCTGCTATTATATATCTTATATTCTAATTAAGCCAATCTTCGGGGAGTAGTTCGTTACAAGATAGTTAAGCTATTAATAAATAAAATTATTAATAGCTAAAGTATTAACTAGAAGAAGTGCCTCTATTACTACTAGGGTAATTTAGCCAGATATTCAGGGAAGTATCTAGTCAGGTACTCTTTATACTACCTAATTAGGAGAAGGAAATAGAATTCAGATATCTCTAGAACTCGCTAGTAGAATAATAATAATAATAAAGAAATTAGCGGCGGTTTACTATGATATTATCGAGTTAGAAGTAAAGATATAATAGAAAGAGAATCTAGAAAAGCTAGAAACTCAGATCTATTATCTTAAAGATATTCGGATATCCGATATAGAGCCCGTTATATTTCTAGTAGTACTTTTGGTTCGGAAGGTTCTAAAAACCCGAAAACTACTAACTTATAAAGGGAAAAGTATTAAAGAAACCTAGAATTTCTTTTATTAAATAGAACTAAAATAGTATAAAAACGGCGGGATTATCTAGGCTATAAATATAATAAAGATTATATATTATATTTCCTTTTTTAAGAATATAGCTAGAAATATCTAGAAATATAAAAAGTAATTAGTAAATATTAATATTATAGATTAGAAACCCTTTATTAAGTTTATAAAGAATTTTATCTTAAATCTAGAAAACTATAATAATAATAATCTTACTAAGTTTAAAAATACTAAATAATAGCCAGGTTAGAATATTTAAAGTTTTATATTTTATTTAGATAGCCTATTAGATAACTTAGAATATATAAGTTTATTATAAGAGTAAAATAATTTATTTAATAGCTTAAAATAGGAAATTCGAAATAAAATTAATTATTAAAGAAATATTTTATAAAAAAGAAAAAAGATTATTTCTATAGCTATAAGAATTAAAAATAACTTAAATTTATTTATTTAACGGAAATATAATAATAAACTAATAGAATAAAAAATAATAATAAAAAGAAGTAGAAAAAAAATATTTCTATTATAAGGTTTATAAAACTAGAATAATAAAGATATAGTAATAGAATCTAATATAATACCTATATTAAGATTTATAAAATCAAATATAATTTGCTTTATTTACTAGAAAAAGAATTATTATATTACTATTTACTTAAATTAGAAAAAACCGATTAATTATAATTATAATAAGTTTAATTATAAAATATATAAATACCTAGAATTAAAAAAGCCAGAAAACTAATATATTCTATAATAATTATATTTATTTATATTATAAAGAATAAAGTTCCTAAAATGAAAATAAATAAATATAGGATTAGAATATTAATTAATTCGAATATAAATGCTAATTATATAAAAAGGAAATTAGTTTTAAATATAGGAATTCTATTAATATTAAAAGTAATTTTATTAATTTTATTAAAAGAAACTAGAATTCATTTATATAAAAATTATATTCTTGAAATTATTATTAAAGATATATTAAAAAACCAAAAAGAAACTAATATATATTTTATATTATATAATTTTAATTTTAATTATATTAATATAATATTTGAATTTCTATAGCTTTACTAAGTTAATTTCCTAATTTTCTTTAAGAAAGTAATATAAAAATATTAGATTTAATTATAAAAGATTAAAGTTTTAAATACTAGAAAGTTTACTAAAATAGTAAAATATAAGATATATATTTTTCTATTAATTATTTGTTTTATAACAGATAGCTAAAAGATTATTACTATTATTATAAATAGAATAGTTATATTTTCTAGGAAATATTAAAACCTTTTTCGAGTATTTTTTATAAAGGCTATAAATATATTATCTAATTATTATATAATAAAATATTATATAAATCTAGAACTAGAATTCTAATTATTATATAATTCTATATATATTTTATTAGAAAAAAAGCTTGAAATTCTTTAGAAATATTTTTATTAGTTTACTAGTAATATATAATACTATTTATATAAGGTTAGTAAAGTTATATTATTATTCAAAAATAGGAAATATAATATTATAGTATTAATATATAATTCCTAAATTTATTAAGCCTAATAGAATCTAGTTTACTAGTCGAGTTACTTATAAGATATAAGGTTATATAACTATATCTTATATCCTATATTTATTACTCATATTCCGTATCCCGTATCCCGTAACTATATATGTGACTTCTAAAGAAATAGCTATATTAATACTAGAAACTCTTTAAAAAATATAAAAAATAATACTTTTTTCTAATTATATATAAATTCTCTAATCCGGCCTAGTATCAGATTTCTCAAATACTTTATATATCTATATTACTTCTAAGGTTCTAATTATATACTAAAGGCCGCGGCCTTTTATATATAATTTTCTTTCTTATAATATTTTCCTATCTTATATATTTATTTCCTGCTCTATTTATATTTAATTAATTTCTTTATATCTAATTATATAATATTCGTATTAATTAAATACTTGAGAGTATTTATTAGCTTCGATTTTATTATAGAATTAATAGGATTTAATTCTTCTTTAATTTATTTAATTTCTATAATCTCTTATTATTTATATATCTAATAAAGATATATTATATTAATTATTAGATACTTTTCTTAAGTAATTCCCAATTTAATAAGGCATTTATATAATAACTTTAAATTTATATAGATTATTAGTAGTAGTTCTATTTCTAGTATTTTATTAATTATAAATTTAACTAAAGTATCTATATTAAAGCTATAAATTATATTATAAAATTCCGAAACTAGAATACTTCTAATAACTTTCTTGTATTTAGTAAAGAATTAGTAAATAATATTAGTATATCTAGTTCCGTTTACTAAAACTAGAATATATCCGATTTAGGAAAAGAAATCTTTATTATTTATAAATAAAGTATTTATAAAAATAATTAAATATAAGAATTTCTTTATTAGCTTTATAAATCTTAGTTCTCTAATAGTATTTTCAATTTACTATTAAATATACTTATTAAATACCTTTATATTAGTTTCCGAAAATTTAATAGCTTAAATAGTAATTAATAAG